TTACTTCTTATTTTTCAATTCTTCTGCTTCTGATTGTTTTCTGTAGTCTTATCGCTTTTCGTTAAGAAGACGAAGACTAACAAAAGACATCAGAATAGCGAAATCCAATTCTTCTGCTTCTGATTGTTTTCTGTAGTCTTATCGCTTTGGGTAGTACAACCAGACAATGTTAAATAGTAGTGGAGACAGCAGGCATCCTTGTTCCTGACGTTAGTGTAAATGCTGCTAGAGTTTTCTCATTAAGTAAAAGGCTGACTTTAAGAGTAAGGTATATATATTTTATCATGTTGAAAAAATACCCATCCATTCCTTTAGCTTAAATAAATGGACAACAATGCTCCAAGATGCAGGGACATTCGGGAATAATTAACTAATGCTAGGAGAATAGAATAGACAGACGAAAGATGAACCTAACTCTGCAAGCAGAAAAAAACCAAAAAACTGAAACAAAGAAATCAAAGCCACCTTAATGATCAAGGATTGGTAATCAAGTCAACTTCGTATGTAGAGTTGTCTTAAGATATATTTAATTAGTAATAATCTTAAATTGTTTAATGAATCTCATTATTAGTGATCTGTGATGACAGTTTAAATTTATTTTCTATTACTTCTGTTTTAATTATTAAAACCTCAAGTTAACATCTTTAAACAGAAATTTCTGAATCCAAGTGGGTACTTATGTTGATTACACTACTCTTCTGAAAGGGTCTGTCTTTCTGTAACTATATTACAGAGAAAAGAAGTGGGAAAATTATGGAAACAAATGATGCAATAAGGAAGATTATACTGATTCTACCCCTAATTAGCCCCTAGGTTTCTCCATACTTGGAAATTGTTCCCAAAGAACAAGGGTAGTTCCTAGGTGACTAAACTGGGATGGCCTTCGTGGCATAGCCATGTACCTTGCTGGAACAAGCTCAGCCTATGGCCATGAATCTGTTTTGGAACTAGTTCCCCAGCCCAGACTTTCTATTCCTCCCGAAGAGTTTCTCTTTTGGGCCCTGAATTAGTGAGACATGACTATCTCAATCTATCAGAAAGATTCTGGTAATGTTGAACCTCAAAAGGAAAGAGGCTGAGATCTCAATCTCTTTCTTCCCAGGAGGCTGTCTGAGGCAAACGTTACCATTATTGGTTGGGGCTAACGAGAGCTGTTTGGAGAAACGGTCTTGTAAGGATGTTCTCTTACATATTTCCCCTGGTGCAATGGGTACCTAACTCTCCTTCTAGTTGTATCAGTAAGAGGAGCTTCTCAAGTACCTCTTTTCTCGACAAAGATGAATTGTTCCCAGTCATCGCAGATGTCTACTTTGTCAGAGAAGTGATTGGTAGTTTCTCTTAAAAAAGTTTTAAGAACAAGTAGTACAAAGGAAGGAGTGGTTGACTTGGCAGGGGTGGGGTTGGGGGATAAGTGGTCAGCAGTGATGTTTGTAGTAGACCATCAAAGCTTCATCTTAAAGGAGGAACAGAGTTGGGAGTGAGAATGTTAGGGCAGGAAGTGATTGGAATTTAGGGAGAAGGAAAAGCATATTCAAGAGAAGACCACAGGAATTCAGAGAGACAGGTGGAGTTTATGTCATGACTGCCTCTGTGTAGAATGCTAAGGATCTCAGAGTTTATTTTGGCCATGAGGAACTAGTGAGGAATTCATTCATTTGCATCTCATTATCTTTCCTGACATGCATGCATCACCTCTGTGCTCCTGACCTCAGGTAAATATTATCATCCTCTCAGGAACCCAACCAGTAAATCTCAGAATCAATCTAAAATTTTTCTTCCCATTAAATAACAATCTTGTCCATCCCCATCCAATTTGAACGAAGTCATTTCTTTCCTATCTGCTGTGTGCTGCCCTGGCTCTCATGCTCACAACCTTTTACCTAGATTATTTCAAGAGTGTTCAAACTGGTCTCTCTGCTTGACATTTTCTTTTGCAATCCATCCTACATATTACCACTAGCATGGTCTTCCTTAAATAAAAGCCGAGGTCACTACCCTTTCTCCAAATTTGCAAGACTCCCTCTTACATTCAGAATAAAATCTCACCTGGCTAGCTTGGTATTTTAGACCTTCTACAAGTTAACCTCCATTAAACATTTCAAACTTTTCTCTGATTTCACATCCTTTTTTGAACCTCCATCCACACCAGGCTTAATTATCTTTCTGCATCTGCTTTGTCCCTTCTTGTCTGTATCTTTGCTCCTATTACATCTTCTCCTAAAGCCCCTTTCTTCCATCTATTTTTCAAGGGTTGGCCCAAACCATATCAGCTGCATAACAAATTACCCCAAAATTTGGTGGCTTAAAACCATGATAAGCATGTATTATTTCCCACAGTTTTGTGGGCAGGAATTTAGGAGTACTTGGCTCAGCATTCTGGCTTGGGATTGCTCATGAGGCTGCAGTCATCTGAGGCTTCATTGGAGATGGAAGATCTTCTCCCAAGACTGGTAAACTGGAACTGGCTCTTGGTGGGAGTCCTCAGTTCTTCTCCCAGGCTGTCTGAGTATTCTCTGTGGCAGCTGGCTTTTCCAAGAGCAGGCAATCCAAGAAATCAATGGAAGCCACAATGCCTTTTATGATCTTGTCTCAGAAGTCACATGCCATCACCTTCACCATACTCTTTTTGCCATACAGATCAGCTCTCATGTGAGGGAGATCACACAATGGCATGAATACCAAAAAGCCAGGATCATCCAGGAGTGTTGGAGGCTGGCTAACACAACATCTATCTCTTCAAGAGGCTTTCTAGATTCCTTAACTCCATATGCCCCTTTTCTCCCTGTTCTCAATAGAGCTCAAATTCTTTAAAAATCAGAGCTCCCAAAGATTTCTCAATAAAATCACCTTTTTTCTTCTTTAGTTAGTATTATAAAATGTAAACCTGAGAAAGTCCTTTGGTTAATTATCAAAGGACGTGGTGCTGAGGAACCTTGTTCTCCAAACCCCTAGACCATGAACTGTTGTTTGGAACACCTATTAATGAGAACAGAACACTTTTTTCTTGCCTGGGAGATGTAAAACATCCAAGTTACTTTGATTTAGACAAGCAACGATGTACAGTGCAGAGGTTCAGATTAGGGATTTTTGGACACAGTCTTTTACATTAATCTTAAATGTATGTTTTCAGTGAAATAGAACCCCGAGTCTACTTCTCAACTAAGGTCTGATATTAACCTCTTTACATACAGATTTGATTTGCTATGAGCTTGTTAAAACATTTTCATTTAGATTCTACCTATAATGACCATTGCCCTCTGCCCCCTCCCCACCATGCCCCATTTCTTCCCTTTTTTGGAGACAGGCTCACAATTCCTCTGCATGTGGTATCCTTTGCTGCAGCAAGTAAATAAACCTAATTTTTTGGAGTGATAGGATTGTCCTTGGTGGTCTTTATCTGATGGGATTTATGAACAGATGAAACTATCTGAGCTCACATTAACTGATTTCATTGTTTTAGAATCACTGATGCTTCTTGAACAAGGGTACCTTTTAGAATATCTTGCTCAATGAGTCATTCTTATCTTTCCTCTGACCTATTGTCTATTTCCTAAATATATCTTTCCTCTGAAATATAATTTATTTCCTACATAGACTATATTTCGGACTAACCAAGCATGCCCTTCCTTCACTGCTACAGACTCCAAGATGATACAGTCACTTTCTTCCAAGGTTCCTAACTCTTCTACATTATTAATTCAATTTATTAGGGGGTTAGTGATTTTCCCTTTTGTCCTCCTGAGTGACTGCTTTGGTCCTAGGATTCAGCTACCAAAATCATGTTCTGAGGCAAGAGTTAACTGAAAGCTCTAGACAAAACTAAGTATTTTCTCTTTTGTGTTGTCAGAGTGCCTTGTTCATACTTCTAATATGAAATTTACCATGTTTATTTTATTCATATTTTTTTCTCTACCAGCCTCTGGAGAACAGGGATTATGATCTGTTCATTACTGTATCCTCTGTGCCAGGCCTACCTAATTACCTAATTGTTGAATAAGGTTATGAAAATGTCCACATGGCAAATGGAGAATTTTGTAGAAGCTCCACTTCAGCAAAATTTAGACAGCAGATCATCCCTCCCCATTCCCCACCACACTACTATAACTGGTCCCTGTGATTGTTATAATCTCTGTTAGGCAAGTACCAATTTATATTGAGAAAACACAAAGGAATCCACTGTTTTGCAGGCTACTTTAATATGGGCCAAATTTAACACATAAGCCACTTTATGTGTGTGCATAATGCAAGATTTTATTTATTTTCTACTGACACACTTGGTTTTCTCCAGTTGCCTCTACTGAAGACAGGGACTCCTAAGTTACTGTACCTATGCCAGTCAAATGCTAGGGATAATGATTTCTACATCATAGGGTCAGACAGAAGAAGAATGCTGTAAACTGTACTGTCTTTCTGATTCTGGGAGTAAGGCCAGCATTAATACAGTGTACGATTGTTATTTCTGAATGTTCCTTTACGAAGAACTGTGTTTCTCAAACTTTTTGTTCGATCAGACCCACATAAATACATTTTATATCACTACTTGGGACTCAGATACAAAGACTGGAATATGTATTTCTCAAAATAACGTTGTGGTACTCGATATTTTTCTGTTTCTATTTTTTTTATAAAAAGTGGGCTCTCTATCCACCAAACTAATTTCACAATCCCCTAAAGTTTATAACCCACGTTTGGAAAACTACTGGCTTGGAAAAAGGTTTTTAATTTGTAGACATCCTTCCCACATTTCCGTACATCTCTTCCTAGTCTCCGACTGTTGGGTTTTCATCTAAACGGTGACAGTGCCCTCAGTTTTGTGAGTGCTCTGTGATGGGGCAGCTCCGTGGGCTCCTTTAAGAGGATGGTAACAGCCCTCCACAGCGGAGTGGGGGTGGAGTGGCAGGTCCCACTAAATCCCCAGCGCAGGCCAGGCACGCTTTTCCAGTTCTTGTGAAAGCCTGGGTGTGGGTGTGCGGAGGTGGGAGTAGGGGTGAGGGAGGGACAGCCACCAAGTTCGGAGAAGTGAGGAGCTGCAGAACGACAACCCGCAGCGACTCCACGCGCACAGTTACAGGGTCTTCGCGGGGATCGGCGCTTGCGCAGAGCGAATTCCGGAGCTGTTCCGGCCTCCGTGGCGCCAGCGCGCGCTCCCGCCCAGCCGAAGCCCTAGGTGGTCTGCGGCGCGCTCCAGGGGCGGTCCTGCGCGGCCGGCGCCGCCCTCCTCCGCGCTACCCTCTGCTCCCAGTCTCCCCTGCGCTTCCTGCACTAAGGCAGTCGCCGCCGGCTCCCCTTCTCTGCCTCGCTCACCCAGGCGGTGCCATGGCGGCCTTCAGCAAGTACCTGACGGCGCGAAACTCGTCGCTGGCGGGGGCCGCGCTTCTGTTGCTCTGTCTGCTCCACAAGCGTCGCCGCGCCCTCGGCCTGCACGGGTAAGAAGGCCGGTGGCCACTCCGCCTTCCCGGCCCGAGCGCCCTCCCGCATCTCGCCTGGCTGCCGTCGGGGGCCCTCTGCCCTGCGGGGTCAGGCAGAGAGGACCGGCCGCGTCTGCTGCCAGGCTCAGTGTCAGGGTGTGCGGGTCACCTTGCCGCGCCGGCGACTGCCGAGCTCCTTGCGTCCCCCTGGCCTGTCCGGCCCCTCGCGCGGTCCCCGGGGGTGCGAATCTCCCCTGCGCCCGCTAGCAAACCTGTGCCTCTGCCCCGAGGTTGTGGCCCCCTCCCCACTCCACAAACCTTTTTTTTTTTTTAAATTAAGGTATCGATATACAATCTTATGAAGGCTTCACATGAGCAAAATTAAACCACCTTCTTTTTGTATTAACTTTCTGAGCATGTTCTAAGTTTTGTCCTCTCATCTCCGGACAGACCGTGGATTTGCTTTGTGGACGTGTATGCGTGATTTGAGGATGGTAATTTGACTCGCTAGGCTGGAGCCTCTTGCCTAAGTCAGTTGGACGAGGTTTGGCACAATTCCCTAGTAGTTGCTCTTGAAAGTCGCGAGGATGGTTATTGTGAATTATACAGGGTCCTTTGGCAGAGTTGCTTTATGGAGTGGTGTCCGCTTGCAGTAGGTCAGCGAACGTCCTGGCATTTTATCCAGAAAGGCTGTGTGGCCCGCTTGGAGGGCAAGGTACCTGCCCCTGGCTTTGTAGGTAGAAGGTCAGAATGTTTCCGGTGAGGATCAAGATTGTTTTTTGATTACACTCCACTGGGACCCCCTCGAGAGAATTTTCGTGTTTAGATTTATAAATCAGATTACAAACATTTTTTATCTGCTGGGAGATATTTGTCTTCCGCAAACGAATGAGAAAAGGTTACTTCCCAAGCATTCTTGCCAGTCATTAGATATTTCACGTTAAATCTTGGCATACTGGTCTCAGGCATTTTATTTCATTCATCTGTTTGGGCACGTACTGTTACCTCCTGTTCCTGATTTGCCTAAAATGTCTGATTAGTAGTAGACTTCGGACCAAAACGCTGACCAGGAGCCTTCCTTTCCATGAAGTTCTTACTTTCTCCTTTCTCCTATCTTCCTTATCTTAATAAGGTCTGAAGCAATGGTCTTTCTTTTTCTTCCTAAGTCTGATTAACACCGTTGAAAATGATGTTCATCTTTGTCTGGACAATACAGTACCTGTTCACTTTTTAAAATTTAATTTGCTTTTAAAATGATTTATTCTGAAAAGTACGATTTTATTTTTTCCTAATTGGATTGTATGCTTTCCTGGCTCCCTGTTGCAAATGAATGTTATTTGTTATCTGGGAATATGCCAAAGGAAAATGTTAAATGCTATAAAATAACTTTGAATTACATTTTTGCAGGGAATGTTTCAGTGCATATAGAACAGGTGTTTTCAGTATGGGAGAGGGGATTTGAGGACAGCCCTAACAGCTCTGGATTTCTTATATGATTTTTTTAAAAAAAACTTTGCTTTACTGGAGTATTACACACAAAGAGAAAAGTACACATAAGTGTAGCGCTTGAAGAATTTTCACAAGTTGAACTTACCTGTGTAATCATCCCTCACATCTGCAGTGAGCTGCTGAGTTATAAAACGAGATTATTGAGTAAGGAAAGTTTTAAATAATCTAATGGGCAATAGTAGCAAAACAGTCTATCTAATATCTAATAATAATCTTTTCAGATAACTTAGGTGTTTATTCATATTGTAAAATGCTTAAAAATCTTTAAGAAGTTTTGTAAACATTGGGGGGATTAAATTATGCAAGTTAATTAACTGAACAAAAAGATTGTGATTAACAAATGATTGTTAATCTTTTGCATTGGCATAAGAAAATGTTTCATACATTAAATACTTCGTGGGAGGAGAATGCAAATTATAAGCAGATTAACATGAAGTTTTCATTACTGAGATAAAATGATTGAATTATTTTAAAACTATTGAGAATGGTGTTGAATCTAACTTTGTAGGTGTTACATTTCCAGAAACTTTTGGATGTCTTTCAGACTCTAGCTGCACAGTTTGAAGATGAGAAAATTCTAACTTTACATTTTGCAGGGTTTTTGGGGGTATCGTTGGTAACAGGACTAATTTTATGCTCTGGTGCTTCATTGAGGAACCTATGGTGGTTTGGCCTTTTTTCAACTATGCGAACAGTAGGTTTGTCTTAAAAGATATTCCCTAGAATCAGATATGTAATGGAGCTAGTATAACCATTTTAAAAGTTACTTTGTAACTTTGTAACATTATTTTCAAACTTTAGAAGAATGAGTCATTTAACATTCTGAGTTTTTTTTTAGTTTTGTTAATGAAATTTTTTCATTAGTTAAATCATATGTATGACTTTTTATTATGGGAAATTTCACACATAATTCAAAGTAATTAGAATAATAGTGAATCCTCTATACACTTTACCAAAGAGGTACCATCATCATTCTGCCTTTCTTGTTTCATCTGTAGCTCCTTGCTTCCCACCCTTTATTTATGGGTCTTTAGATTAAATTTATATATATTGAACTGTATAAATCTTATACATTTTAAAAATAAATGTGTACAATAGTGTAACATCCCTATTCGAACATTTTTCTCTCCCCAGAAAGTTCTGTTGTATTCATTCCCCACCACCACTGTACTATGTTTTCACCTTAGCTTTGCCTAATCATACATCTTATTTTGTTTATTATTTATGGGGAATAGTGGAATCTTTTTACTCCTGGATAAAGGAGACCATTTCAGTTCAAAGGAAGTATCTGTTTCAGAATGTTGTATAATTGTGCTAGGTGCTATCGGATGGAGAGGTGTGTATGTATTACACATACATTTAAAAAAATGACATCTTTTCTCAGGGAGCTTATATTCTTGTTAGGAAGAAGGAATTTAAGTGCATATTAGTTTAAAGTGTATGATGATGACAAATGAAGTACACAGATACGCCTTAGAAATTCTGAGAAAGGAAAGATTAATGTGTTTGGGAAGAGTTAGGGAAGGCTTTATGAAGGATATGAACTAAGACTAGAAAGGGGGGGTAAGAATGAATAAATGATGATAAATTGAATGTTAATATTAGCCTTTATCATATTTTTATCACATTTTATGTTAAGAAGCTTTGCAATGCCTTTACATTCCGTCTTCCACTGCCACCAGGGTACTTTTCAAGAAACACAAATATGATCATGTTATTCCTTCACTAAATTCTTTCAGCTATTCTAAAATACAAAATTCTTAGTATGAGAGGAAGGTGTTCATGATCTGGTCCTTTACTACTACTACTTCTACTCATCTAGCCATATGGGCTAAACAGTCTGAGTATGACAGGTTCTTCCCAGGCTTTGCAGTCTGATTGTAATTACTGGTATCCCTATCATTTTTCATCACCCTTTGATGTTTATTTTCCCTTCAAGACTCAGTTCAGGCAACACTTTCTCGTAGATGTTTTCTGTCTTTTCCGGATCTCCAAACAGATGTTGTCCTCTGCTCTTTTGATACTCTAAGCATTCCTGTGGTCTTGTAGTTACCACTCTGCATTGTACTACGTCAGACTTTTTGAGTTTCTTGAGGGCATGGACCAAGTCATTTTTCAATTCCGAGTTTGCACATGTCACAGGATACTCAGTATCCTGTGGACAGATGAGGTAGGATGATTAAGAACTTTTAAGGCTAACTGACAGGCAGTTGAAAATGTGGAACCAGTACAAACATGAATAGAGACATTATCTTCATAGAAGTGATAGTTGTGTACCTGAGGATTCATAACATGAATTGAGTAATGGGAAGTCTGCGGGCCAGTTTTAGAAGACGGGGAAAGGGACCTGTCTACATTGCCGAAGTATTTTACGATCTTAAAGAAAAACCAAAAACCAAAACCAGAACAAAGCAGTTTCCTTGCCTTCGTGTGAATGCTCGTCAAAGTTCAGATTTCTCATCCTGGGCTTCAGAGCCTTGCCTCCATCTCGTCTCATCTTACCTGGCTGATCTTATATGCCATTGTCTGCCAGTGAGTACTCTGGTCCAAATAGGCCACGCTCCGTACTATCCTCTGAACATCCCACACTCATTCCTGGTTTTGGAGCTTTGCTCATATTACCCATACCTGGAATCAGTCTCTCTCTGTACCCTCTGTTATTCAACCCTTATCCTTTAAGGGTTAGGTGAAGATCACTCCTTCTGTGCAGTATTATTTAACAACTCTTGATGATCTCACTGATGATCATCCTCCCTTTTTAACCTTCTGAAGCACCAATTTAGATGCCTGCCTTGTATTATCTATTAATTGCTTGACTGGGTGTGATCTAGCTGTCAGACATCAGGATGTAGTCAAGTCCACCTGCTTATGGGATGATCCTTTGTCCTTTTTAAAGCCCCAGTCTGTAGATGGTGGGAACACAGTTAACTCCCCCGAATATTTCTGAGGAGTTTCAGGGAGATTGTGTTTCTCTTAGTCATGCTTTACTTCACTTCTTTGTTTCTGCTCTTTTAGATTCCACTTAAATCTTGACCAGAATACTATTTCTGGACCTGATCTGCATCAGTTGGTTTCAGTACATAGTTGCTTTTCTTGGCAAATCCGTTAAAGTCTTCTTCATCTGTGGTTGCTTAAGGACCCTTTTTATTCTGAGCATCCAAATGGGGCCATAACATCCACTGATGGTTCATCCTAAGGGTCTCATACAGCTCCAGCCCCTCACCTGGCTCATGCTTGTACTTTAGTGGGCCTTTGAAATTGAGAAAAGTAAAGCAGCCCCTTCTAGGGCTTTGATTTTCTGAAAGGAGCAGATCTCAGAAAAGAAAGCTAAATTTGAAGTACATAGGAAAGTTGTGGGAATAAATAAAAGACCCAGCCACACGCCACAGGGCTGAGGCTGAGGGAAAAATAGTCAACAAATTTCCAACAGTGGGGATGGCCAAGGAACTTGTAAGTAAAAGAATGTCTTCATTTTAAGCTGTTCACCATGCTGAGATATGTACTTTAGA